TTGGAATTATCAACAATGGTACCTAACTATCAAAGGCGTTTTAGTTCAAGAAAATCAGATCTCATTTTAATAATCACACCATCTTACCTACTAGGATAGGGTGGCATGGAGTGAATGAACTTAGGGAAGTGAAGGCATAGAATTTGACTAGCTGGAGAGGTTACACTCGGGTGCATGAACTGTGTTCTTAGATGGGAGCACAGGATGCCCTCCTAGCGGATGTGCTTCTGCTGACTTAGAAATCTTAGAAAGTGGGTAGTGGATTTTAAAAAATGTATCTATTTTAATTTGAAACACACACACACACACACACACAGATGAAGAGAAGTCTTCCATCCACAGGTTTATTCTCCAAGTCTCCAAGTGCCCATAGAAGCCTAAAGCCAGGATTCAGGAACTCAGTTCACGTCTCCCATCTGGGTGGTAGGAGCCAATTTGAGCCACCTGTTGCTGCCTTCCAGAATATACATCAACAGGAAGTGTGAATCAGAAGCGGAATGAGGATTCTGATATAGGGTGCCACCATCCGAAGTAGATACCAGCACTGAACAGAACACCCTCATGTTTTCTTTGAGAAGGAGGATCTTGGGCGGAAGATGAAGAGGAGAACAAGAGAGACAGAAGTAGAAAATGTGAATCTTTCATCAACTACTTCACTTCCCAAATGTCTGTCAGTGGCCAGGCTGCAGCCGGAAATCAAGTAGAATTTCTCATGTGAGTGTCAGGAACCTGATGATTTGAGCTTCCCACAGTCCTGATTAGCCAGGAGCTGAAGATGGGACTCTAACCCAGCCACTCCAATTTGGGTATCTTAATCATGATGCTAAATGTCTGCTCCACTGATTTTTATTCCAATGTAATGTCTGAGGGAAAGAAATGTTAACAAAAGGCCATACAGGGCTGGCACCATGGCAGAGTAGAAGAGGCCTCTACCTGTGGTGTTGGCATCCCATATCACTATCAGTTTATGTTCAAGCTGCTCCACTTCTAACCAAGCCCGATATGGCCTAGGAGAGCACTGGAGGATGGCGTAGTCCTTGGGCTCCTGAAGCAGGCCCCTGGCTCCCGGCTTTGGATCGGCTCCGCTCTGGCTGAAGTGGCCACTTGAGGAGTCAGCCAGTGGAAGGAAGATCGCACTTCTTCATTCTGTGGCTCCTCCTCACAAATAAAAATAAAATAAATCTTTAAAAAAGGCTAAGTAACTATACATCTCTCTGCTCTAAGAACAGGAACAGACAAAGATCACAGCCTTGTCTCTCATTTACCTGCTAAACAAACAGCATCTTAGAGATGGTAAAAGAATAGGGAGACAACATTCTAACTTCAGATTTGTTTTTTAGTTTACAGACATTTTACATAGGACCTGTGAAAAATATTAACTATGCTGTAACTAAACACCAGAAGGTATTTACTCTCAACATCATAGAGGAAAAATGAACATTTATGACGTCCAATCTGTTTGTTTAATAAATAAAACGAATTATCAGGCACTGGAGTTTGGTTACAGTTCTATTTTCAAAGGCAATCACATAATAATTTTAATACGATCTTATATCTTGATGATAGTTGGCAATAAGTGCAGGTTGAATTGGCTCCCTGGAGCACAAAATAAAAATAAAATTCAGTTGGAACTGATGTTGCTTGTTAAATTTAGACACATTTGATATATTGACCTACATTAATTACTTTATTAAACACCATATATCTGTAATTTATATCCTGATTATAGCAGTAATAATTCTGTTTTTTCTGACCTTGATGTGAAACCCATTACTTGGCTTTTCGTATTCAAGTATATTTGAATCTCTGAGCTTAAGGGACTACTATTTTTACAATCACGAAATCTTGTGTGTTTGCCAATTCTGTATTGCTAAGGACTTTCAGAAGTTATTATATCCCTACATCTACCATGTGAGTAGGTAGGGCCAATATTTAGGCCATAGCTTTACAAATAGTAAAACTTAAGAAAACAGACACTGCAGGCTGAGTGACACGGAAAGGGATGCTTGCTTCATTGGTAAACTTAGAGACACAATGTTAGTCCTCAAGCACAACATGTGCTGGGGATTTGAAATCATGTCATATATGATACCATTTAGTAACAGATAATACATTTAATGCATTTAAGCAAAACACAAGGCAAAGTAATTTGCCCAGCATCTAACCAACCGGCATAGATTGAATTTTGGTCATTAGGAAAGTTTCCTACACACCAGCCATGATTAAGGTATGTAACAGATTTTTACACCTGATAAAATCTTTGTAGGCTGGATTCACTGTCTTGTGGGCTCTAGAAAAAATTCACAAAGACAATCCTAGATCTTTCATCTACTCCGTTTCAGAAACAGAGGTTAAATAGTAAAGAGAATATAAATTTGCAAGTGAATTAATACAAAATGCACCAAAAATCCAGAGTGATCTAGACTTCTACGTTCATGTAAACCTAGTGGCAGGTGTTATGAACACATCTGTGATAACCCACCAGATGGGGACCAGAAAGGAAAGAGCTTGGGCCCAACCCTGGGTCTCTTTCTCTGGCCCAGCAATTCAGCAGGTATTGGAGGAGGGGTGCTGGAGAAGGGAGGACAAAGGTCTTATACCTTAGGAGTGCTTTAGAAATTTCTGGAGATGTATCTTTTTTTCCAGTACATGCTCAGCATTTACATATTGAAATGAATTTTAAAATGACAAATTATTTTCATTCTAAGTCTCTGAATATAGTTCAGACACATTTGAATTTTAAAAGCTAAATGAACATGCAAGCATATTTAGCCTATAAAGAGTGTTATAGGACAGCAAAGGAAAATATTTTATATCCAAAATACCAATGTTGTAGAGAAAAACCCATTTTTAGGGCATCACTTTAGATCAAGATTCTCCAAGTATAGTTCACAGCACATCAGCATCAGGGATACCTGGGAACCTAAACTAAAAACAAAACAATACAAACTAAAAAACCCAACAACAATAACAAAAGCAAAACCCACTACAGGATTATTGCATCAGAAACTCTGGGCCTGGGGTTCAACGGCACTATTTTATCAAGCTGTCTCCAAGCTGCTCCCGTTTCAGCCTCTGCTTAGGCTGGTGCCATCTGTAGTCATGTGGAAGGTGACACATTCTGAAACACATTACACGCATGCAACGCTACGACACCTTGGGATCTCTGACCCTGAAGCCAAGCCACTGTCAGGAGGAGCACAGTGAAGCAGTTGTTAGCTTTGTATTCCATCACACTCCTGTGCTTGAATGCATCAGAATATCTCCCTCCACATGTGTCCTTTTGTATGGTAGACCATTTTTGTTTTATCTGAAGATTTTTGAGGCTACAAGGAATAGGGGTGTCATTTCTGTGCCATAAAAATTGCAAATTCACCTAATGTTTAGGGGGAGCCCCAAAAAACATAAGAAATCATGCATTTCCCCCACAAAAAGGCAAAGGTAGGTAGTTGCTTAAAATAATGAGTTGTTTTGGGGGATACACATAGAACTGAAATACAGGAATAGCGAAGTGGGGGAGATTTAGAAATAAAGTTATGAACTTACAAAGGGGTGGCCAGATTCAGCAAAGGAACACACATTTCCTAAGACCTTCACTCTGATCTTTCAATTTTCTTCCTTTGTTAATGGCAAAATATCCTGCGTTGTCCAAAGCTTTCTATTGTTTAAAGGTCTACTTCATTTTTATGTGGTTTGAAAATGGTTTTAGAATATAAGCCATGGAATTTTGTTTTATAAAATAGAATAAAATTAAATATCATGATTAAAATAAAGTTATAATATTACCAGTTTTTGAATAAACAGAATATTCATTATTTTTGTTAAAATGAGTAAAAATTTGAAAAATACAAAATTCTTTGTTGGGATCTTTTCTTTCAAAGAAGTTTTACTCTGCACAATACGCACTTGAAGACTTTGATTAGGGTGGTTAGGCAAAACACTTTTGTACAAAAACTAGAGATATGATAGAGCAAACACACATAACATAATGAGAAATTCAGACACTTCCTATAAACTCCTGCGAAGAATTACAATGAGCAGGTGAGACTCTCACGGCACACCCACTTAAGCTAGTAAGATATGTTTGCTCTGTATTTGTAAAACTTTAACAATTTTCTGGATACAAATGTTCAATTTGTAAAGTCTCACTATTTTCCCTTGTATTGTCTGGTAAGCACATCTTGTTAAAGTATCAAACACTAATGTGAAACTTGACTGCCACCATGTGGAGCAGGCGTGCGCCCAAGAAGAATATAAATACAAGCACATCAACGTCAAATCAACCTGCAACTTAATGAGAGAGCTATCAAATTCTTCATTCTAAAGTGCTTGGGAAACAATAGGGAAGAATAAGAATCCTTTGATCTTCTTTGAACTGCACTGTTCTGACTGCATAAATGAGATGTCCATTGTTGGTACAAGAGGTGGATACTGTTACCTATGATACCCAATAGCAAAATGCTAATTACGAATGCTACCCATAGGCTCTCCACATCAAAGAATCCTCCACGGAGAAGCAGCATCTGTGTCAGATCGGCATTTTTCAGATGCAACTCCGATCCCCAGGGGACAGGTGACATTGGTCCTCAAGAAGGAGGCACTGGGGTCTCGCTCCCAACCCCTTCCCTTCCAACTAACTCAGACCAGGGCAGGTGACCTTCACTGGAAATCCCAGTTAAGAACAATGTAATTGGTCTTGTTTGAATGACTTGATCAACTAGAGTTTTTTCCTATGAATATGTGAAAATACATTACTGGTTTTTTTAAGACTGACTTACGGCTGAGTTAATTCCACAGTTCAGAAGAAAATTAAAGGTAATTTTTAGAAGAAAGGGCTTGTCTAGTTTCAGGAGAAGATTATTTTATTTTGCCCAATCAGAGCCCTTCAGCATAAAGAGACATTCATATACATATATATGAACATTTCCAGAAACAGTAATTTATAATACATTTTTAAAATACCAGCTTAACGGTATTTATTTACAAAAATATTTCATCACCTAATTTTTAATCCTTCTGCTATGATGACAGTTTTTTTTTTTTGGTTGATTAAGTACAGGAATGCAAAATAACTACAAAGTATAACGCATTTCAGTGTTTGCAATAGTGTTTTCTCTTTTTTTAACGAAACAGTACACAGAGATCTTTTTTTTTTTTAAACCATATTTCAAATGCACATTCCAGCAAGTACCTTTGAGATAGTTACTGGGACTGAGCAAGATTTTTTTTTTTTAAAAAAGGGGTGCAGCAACTGAAAAAAAAACCCACATGTACAGTTTAAAGTATACACAAGCTTCAGCTAGATACCAAGCATGCTTGTCCCCCAAGTGGAAAATGTTAGAAAAATTAAATCTTGCTTTTCTTCATACTGCTTTTTGGTAACTCATTTACAATGAACCAACAGTGTAACTAGAAAGCAAAATGGTTTTTGGCTTTAACTACCACGGTTGAGCGGGAAGTAACACCTACATTGTAACAGTACTGTTGTTTATTTACACACACAAAAATAACAAAATTAAACCATGACTCATCCTTTCTGTACTGCTTTCCACTGATATGTTGAGTTTATTTTCAATTCCTTACATTGTGTTTAGTTGAACCACAGTTTAAGCAATACAAAACAAATAGCCAAAGTATAAAAATTCAATTCTCAAATTAATAGGATTCCATTACCATTAATCTACATCCATTAAATCCTGAGTCAAATGACCTACAGTAAATTAATACTGTCTATATCTCATACACTATAAAATTTTAATTTAACTATGAGCCTCGCTGTAAAACACTGGTAAAACTGACATTCTTGATTTTTTTTTTTCCTGATGTAATGAGAAAATAAGGAGAGCACTTACATATAGCCTTGAACTACGGAACTCAACTCAGAAATGAATGGCACCTCATAATGCAAGACTGAAGGGAATAACATTAAAACCTTGGTCACTGGGAAGTTATCACAATTATTTAATTCAGCCAAAATTTACCCTTTAATTTTTTTTCTTTTTGATTGTTACAACTGCTTTCTTTCCACAGAATCTTTAAAACAACTGAGGCAATAGTAAAATCATTAATATCCACAGGAAAAATAATCCCTATAGCACTTTATAAGAAGTTGATCAGAGTGATGAAAAGTGCAACTAACAAAATCTGTAAACAGTAGCTTCACATTCATACTCAAATTAAAAAAAAAATCAAATCTGTAGGCATAAATTTCAATCCAAGAGAAAAATACCCTAAAATGGAAAAAAAAAAAGGACATTTAAGTTATAGGAGTATTTTTTTCCAAAGTAAATACAGATTAAAAAGTCTAAGAATATTGATCAAGTATCAAACTGATAAGGAACAAATTCTATAAACTACAAAATAAAAACCTTCTTTGACAAAAATACATAAACTCTGTTTTCATTTTTTGGAAATTTATTTTTAAAAAAGGTAGAAGAAAATACCTGGAAAACTATTTTAAATATATATTATATATATATATATATATTTGTAGAGTAAAACAATAATTAAGGTAGGCATCCAACAGCAAGTTTGTAGTTATTGAAAATATCTTGCAATTACTGTTTGTGGGCATTTTCCTCCCAAATCAAATTTGAAAGTGATCAATAGAGGATCTTTTTCTTTATAACAATGGTAATGGTATCTTTCGTGTTAAGTGTGAATACTTTTAAATGGTGCTTAGTTTTTTGTAAAATTAACTGTATCTCGATATGAGATACCAATATTTCTTATTATAAGCATAAAACGTAACTTTTTGTATGGATAATATACATACTTTTTAAGTACTTTGACTTAAACTTCACAAGTTCACCATTTTTAAAACTAAAGAGCACACTTATAAAAATTTCATTTTAAAACTAAAAGCATATTTCTAGCAGTATGTATAAATATAAGATGCATGACCTTCAAACAAATCTGAAAGTGTTGCAATAATTTAAGATCAAGGACACTGAAACATACAGCAAATAATTTTACCACATTTTTTTTTAATCTTTGAAAACCATATAAACCCTACTAAAGGCTTTAAAACTGATTAATTTAAGGTGCAGCTAGCAGCAATATTCATTGATTTTGGTATGCTTTATACATACGTATCACTTTAAACTGAGCATTGCAGATTAAATGATAATAAAAAGATTTAATATCTAAAAAAGTACAGAAAATTCAAGTTTAAAGTTCAGTGCTCTTTTTTTTTTTGCAGAAATAAAATTCCAGAAGTTAAAGTGGAAAATAAATGTTAGCCACAAAAATCGTACCTTTGGATGTAACTTTTCTAATGTCCTAGGAGAGATGCCGTAAGTAAATGGGCATGGAATACAGAACCTACAACTCAGGGTAAAGGTGGAATTCTGCAGTGTCTGCTTCAGTTTTTTTTCTACCTTGGCCGTTTACTCCCTGTAACCCAGAAGTAGGTAACACTTTCAGACTTGTTTAAAATACTCACATACCTACTTGAAATAAATTCAGAAGTACCTAAAATCAAGAAATCCTAAGAAAAGAAATAGTTCTTTCTTTAAAGCACTGTCCTTAATTGAATTACAATACACTTATACATAATAACAGACAAGTAGCAGCACTTTTTTCACATCCACAAAAAAATTGAAGAAGCAACAGCTCGGTTGGATTTAGAATCATTTTTAGGAAACACTGTGCAATCGAAATGCAAATCAAGGGTGTTGAGATGCTCCCAAACTGAAAAACGGATGTAATGTACAGAAGCTAGCAGAATAAAAGTTTTCAAATAACAACTCTATGAGTTTTTCTAGTTCTAAAAGGTGAAATGAACTGGACACACAGGAAATCATGTTCTCCTGAGAAATTAATAGTAAATATTTCAGCGATATTAGAGTCAAGGACAAATGAGATGAGACAATGCTGAGAACAGAGAAAGCACATGAAAACCTTCCACTCTTCTGGCATTTTCTATTTTGACTTTTTTCTTGTCTAGTTTTCCTGAAACCTTGGTTTGCTGGTGACTATTATTTTTTTGCATTTAAAAAGGAAAAAAATAGAGATGTTATCTCTCAAATGACAATAAATTCCCTGGGTTAGCTCTTTTTCTGCAGACTGTCTCTTACCTACGGATTCAGTCAAGTACAACTCTGAAAAGCTAATTTCCTGAACTCAAAAATTACTTTATGATTCCTACTTCTACACCAACATCTCAGAGAAACGTAACTACCTTTGTGTTTGAAAATAATTACAAGATTGGTTCTTTTTATATACAACAGGAAAGAGGACAGTAAAAATGAATCTGATGTACAAACAACACAAAATAACAAGGTAAATTAAGTAACTGCAGCTAGCAGGACATTCCACAGAAGTAGGAAATCAACCCGCACTTGTTACTCAATGTTTCTCAACTCAAATCTATAACTGTTGATGACATCCACAAGACTGTACCTTTAAAAAAGGACCAAAGACTTCCTGTGACCTATCATGTAACAATCTGTAAACTGCTGAATACTCAACGGACAGCTGACATCAACAAAACAGAAATATTTTACTCGTTATTTTTACAAATTCAAAACATTCAAAAATGATTACATTTTAAAAATATTCCTTTCAGATTGATCAATTATCTTTATCAAATATATCCAGTACCTTCCCAACGCTGTCCAAAGTTAGCTTTGATGTAAACTTTTGTATCCAATAGTGAACATTATCAAATGTAAAGCAAAGCTTTGTTAATGAGTGAGGAGGAGGAAAAGGTGCGTAAGAGTGCGTGAAAAAGGTTAAGACGCTCTGCGTATGCTTTTGATGATTATCTGGAATACAGAAACAACACTGATGTTTGCTATCAACTTGTGCTCTGCATCTAGCTTAATGAAAAAAAAAAGATTTTAAACATTTTAAAATAGATGACAGCATTTAGATTTCATTAACAATACTTTTAACACTTTTATTTTTCTCTTTTTTTTTACAATCAATAATAATCTCAAAATTAGCTTGCATTATGAATTGCTTATGGACCTACTAAGTGGTTTCTTTCCTGTCTATTCTAGGAGCCAATCATTGTCCATTGCTGGTTTCAATTTTACATTACACCCCAGCACAGAAATAATTCAATTATGAAAGTGTACATATTTTCCTTTTCTGCTGGCTTTGTAAAACCTTGAAAGGATATGTACAGACTTGTATTTCTACAGAAAATAATTTGTAGATCATTAGACTAGTCTCTTCTATGTTGTTGACAATAGATGCTTATAATTTTCCATGCGACGGCATGTGCACTAAGATTTAATTGGTTCATCACCTGAGTGTATTAGAACTGTTAGCAAATAAAGGATATTTTAAACAGGGAGCTAAGCATTTCACTGAGATAAAGAAACAATTTTTTAAAGCAATTTTAATTAAATAATGCAAAGGGTACATCTGGATAAACATTTTATAAAATTCAAGCAAAATTAAAAACTTAGCCAATTTCAACATTTTTATAAATTTAACCAGTAACTATTTTGAATTAATGAGAACAAGGACAAGGGACACTGAAGGATTTTCCTCACCACAATGGAGGGTTTTCTCACTTTCCACACTGCATAGCCACTACATGGAAACTTCCAGAATGATGAGCAATTCAGTCATGCTCTACACTTTTCTTTTCAATGAAAAGTGATGTATCACCTTGTTTTGCTTTTGACAAAATATGAACTAAACACAAGTATATATCAACGAGAATCCAGGAGAGGCCATACACAAGTCACATATGTGTGTGTTTATTAGTTAAAGCCCACCGTTCAGCTTCTCTGACTAGAGATATGATAACAATTTATTTCTTTTTCACTAATGATACTGATGGCCAGTTAGTTTAAGGGAGGGAAAGTCCAGGGCAGTTGTTGATAATCCAGTCAAGGATATACACACAACTCTTACAGCCTCAGGACGTGCCACTTACGGCCTTTCCCTCAAACAGTTCCAACACTGATGCCAGATACAATGGCACGACATCTTTTGGCATATGAAAGTGTGGCACAGGAATGATCGAGGAATAGTCCCTGCCATGTCTCCTGCGTGTCAGCTCCTGTGGGACACACACTGTGCACTCCAGTCCGAGGGTGTGAACCTCCCTCAGTTCAAGCCACGTGACTGAGGTAAACCAGTACATGATTGTGCTAGGAAAGAACAGTGTTCAGTGACCAGCTTCCCTACAGAAATCGATGGAGTAAAAAAAGCAAAACATTTTTCTTCTGGCCGATGTCGAACCTATTGGAGTCTGGCTGTCAGAACTGGTACCACTTCTTATCTTTGTATTTCAACATCATCTAAAGGAAAAGAAAAAAAAAAGGAAACATAACATAGTTTTTAACAGTCAAAACAACTTTTAAAATTGGTTTATTTATCCTTATAAAACACATTTCATTCTGAAATATTATCTATACTATCATAATGTTAACTTTGCATTAATTTAAGAAAATTGGAAGAAAAAAACTGTTTCATTTGGAGGAAAAAAATACCATGCGATTAAGAAGCTACTTAGAAAATTCTCAACATTCTGAGACTATGACACAATTCACTGAACTAATTAGCTAATAGCCTACAAAGAAGATAATGTTCAGTTACCTTATTGGAACTAAAAAGAACACTTAAGAAACTGGAGAATGAGCAATTGGAAATTCTACTGCCATCTCCAATGCACAGAGACTCTGGTCGTAGCAGGGAATGTGTCATAATCTCCCCTACTTCTTTTTCCTACAACTAATCTGCAGTTAGACATTATTTCTCTCCCCACTGTAAAGGTGAAGGAGCTTAGGCCTGGAGGGGTTATTCAAAAGGACGATGCTACAGTTGAGACTGGAGCCCACATAGTCTGATTCAGGAAACCATGACTGCATCCACTTCAATGTCTCTGGTAAACTCTCAAAGATGACTCAAGAACACTTGGTTTAAAAAAAATAAAAGAGTTATCAGTGCAAGACTGAGCTCTTTGCTAACTATTCATAGTCTAACTATTCAGTCCAAAATGGACTAAAATGCCTAATGTTTCAGGTATTGTTATTGCACAGATGCAAGATTATGACAACAAGAATTTTGACCTACCCTGAAGGCCCCTAGCAGCTACATACACAAGGTTTTTCTGAATCGGGACAGTAACTCCAGAACAAGTTGCTTCTTTCACGCATTCCATGTTTCTGATTTATTGAGCAAAGAGATGACTTTTATTTGAAAATGTAAAGGGGAGCTAATATATATTGGGCATAAAACAATTTTGATACTTCTTCAGACAAGGAACTCAAGTTAACCAAATGTTAGCAACTAAATGTGAAAAGTAGAGTAAAACATACAGGAGCAGCACCCCTGGGCATCAAAATTAAACCTTGTGTTTCACCCACAGGCTTTTCAACGCTGGTGTGAAGGAGCACTTCGCCCTGTCACACACCGGCATTTGTGTGAAGGCCACACCGGGATCCTGCCTGCACAGCACCTCCTTGTGCGTCCCACCATGACTTCCGAGGTTTATCATGACGCACTCCCTGCACTAGGCCACTTGCCACCATTCCATATGAACTGGACGGCCACACAGATTTGGTACTATTTGTCAGGATAAAACCTTGGTCAATTTTAGCTATGTATCCCTATCTGGCCATTTCTTTCTTTCAGAAAAGGCGTTAGTAGACTGAGTTGTGTTGGAAAATCAGCATGATCACGATATTCCCTAAGAAACGGCTGCAAAACTGCTGATTCTGCTAACCAAGGACAAGTCTTCTGAAAAAATCTAGAAGCTTCAGTAACAGAGCAAACACTACTGAGATGTGTTCTTGTAATGGTTCCCTCTAGTGGCTAAAATCAGGAATTTACACTTGTGCAAGGATATGTAAAAATTCATGTGTCTACAAATGTTAACAATTCTACAAAAACAATCATTCCCATTTCCTTGCCACAGGATTTCCGCTGTTGGTTGAATACATGCTGGACATACCTCATGAGCATGTTTAGAAAATGAATCTGCACTGGACAACATGGCCGCAGTTCTTTCTTCTAAGTCACCAAGCTTCTGTCCTCTCTCGTCTAGTGCCAACCTGGCTCGTGCCAACTCCCCGACGACTCCAGACGCAGCCCCTTTCACACCTTCAATTCCTCCAGGGCCAGGGATGTGCTGGGCCAGACTCCTGGATGCCTTCCCTGAGGACGACTCTCCAACTGAATGGATTTTAAAAATATCAATACATGGTGGCATTAGAAAACAATGTTTATGTTAATCAAACTGCAACTGAATCATCTATATATTTCACTTTATAATACACGTTTTTCTTTTATTACAATGATTTTAATGACTTCCAATATTTTAACAGGCCCATAATGTACATGAGTAACTATCCTATATACTAGTTTATACAGCAACACTTGTGCCAAAAGGTGTGGCAATTATTTATTGCACGCTGATATCAATGGCAAAAGTTTTTCCTAAGTGTACAAAATGCAAATTAATTTGAGATATTTAACTGAATACAGAAATTTTATTTACTTCTTATTTCTTACTTTAAAAAACACTCTCCTTGGCTGAGAAGAAAAGTGAAGATGTCAGCATTCTGTTTAGTTTCTACATCTGGTGGACAGGCTGTATACCTTGCTTTCCCTCCTTTTCACATTGACACCAAACATAAAGAACAAATTTCCCCTTTAACAGATCATAAAGGTGAACTGTTTGAGGTCAGCATGAAATTTTTTTGTTCCTGATAATGTTTACTTGTCTCTGTTTCTTGATCTGTTTCACTGGAGTATTATCAGTTTCGTTACCTTTTTACTTTCTTTTTAAAATTAATAATCCTAATTTTTCATTTTTAACTTCAGAGACAGAGAGACATATTGACAGGGACAGAGAGAGAGCGACTAAGTGGCGGTTCCCTTCCCAGATGTCAGAACTTGCTGGATGAGGGTCTTAGGGTGGAATTGATGCCAAGTCTACCAAGCTGAGTCTTGTGCTGTCACTGCTGGCCTCCCAGGTCCGCAATAACAGGACGCGGGGCTGAGGACTGAATCCAGGCACAGCTATGTGGGACAGAGGCACCTAAACTGTTAGGTTACATGTTTGCTGCTACCAGCATTTTTTGTTGCTGTTTTGTTTGTTTTGTTTTAAAATAACTTTTAACATCACAAAAAATAAGAGTATGACATGGGCCTGCACTGTAGCACAGTGGGTAAAGCTGCTGTTTCCAGTGCCTAAATCCCATATGGGTACTGGTTTGAGGCCTTGTTTTTCCTCTTCCCATCCAGCTCTCTGCTAGGAACGCAGCATAGGAATGTTTCAGTCTCTTCATTCACATAGGAGACCCGGAAGAAACTCCTAGCTCTTAGTTTTGACCTAGTCCAGCCCTGGTTGGAAAGTTAAACAGCAGATGGGAACACCTCTCTCCCTGTCTTTCCCTTCTGAGTTAATTGTGACTTTGAAATAAATACACCAATATTCTGGAAACATAAAAACTTTGAAAGAGTACAAATGGTTCCCACATACCCCAGACTCAGACTCCTCTAATGTTTCATCAGAGCATCTTTTTGCCTCAATCACTGAATCACACTAACCTTCCCCTCTTATTAACATATTCTTTTGGTACATTTAAGTCACAATTAATAAACCACATCCAACTGGGCTAATATTTTTTTAAAATCCTAACTTCCTCTCTCTTTCAATGTTCACAGCCTCTAGTAATCAACATTCTATGTTCAGAATGAGATTTTTGTTAATGTTTGTTTATTCTTTGAATTTCTACATACGAGAGAAAAAACGCAGTGTTTTTCTTTCTGCGTTTGGCTTATTTTTCTTAACTTGATGTCCTGGGACCAGTGTGATGGCTCAACTGGCTAATACTCCACCTACAAATGCCAGCACCAAATATGGGAACCGGTTTGTGTTCCGGCTACTCTACTTCTGATCCAGCTCCTTGCTTATGGTTTAGGAAAGCAGTGGAGAAGGGCCAAAGGCTTGGGACCCTGTCCCTGCAAGGGAGCCTTGGAACAAGCTCCTTGTTCCTGCATTTAGATTCACTCAGCTCCGGCCATTGCAGCCACTTGGGGGAGTGAACCAGAATTTGGAAGATATTTTTCTTTCTGTCTCTCCTTCTCTCTGCAAATCTGCCCTCCCAATGAAAAATAAATAAATCTTAAAAAAAAAAAAACATGATGCCTATAGTTTTATCCATTTGGCTGCAAATAGGATTCCATTCTTTGTTACTGAATGACATTGTACTGTGTGCCTCTATCTCATACTTTCCTTATCTATTCATTTGATGATGCATATGTTTGTTGACTGCTAATCTTGGGTTTGTGAGCAGTGCTGAAATAAACATGGTAGGCCACACATCTCCTTAATACACAGTATTATATAATGTTACATACGGTAGTATATGACATCATATATGGTATTAGAATGATATCAGCATCTAATAGTATATGTCTTTTGGGTATATATCCAGTAGTCAGATTGCTGGCTCATATGAGAGTTCTATTACTAAAAATCTCCTGTCTATTTTATTGACTGCTAATTTACATTCCCATGTGCTTTCCCCTCTCTCCACATGCTCCTCAGCTGTTATAACTGTCTTTTTTACAAGAGTCATTCTAGTAGGGTTGAGTTGATATATCAATGTCATTTTCATGTGTGAAAGGCTGGGGAAACCAAGCACTTTTAATAAATTTTTAGGGGGGGCATTGTATTAATTTGGGGGACTTTTTGTTCTTAAGTAGATTGTGTTTTTTGTTTTTTTTAAGTTTATGATAGACACATTAAGAGTTATCCATCCTTAATCCTTTAATCCTTTGATTAGTAGTTTGCAAACATGTTCTCCCATTCTATTGATGTTCCTCACTGTATCAATGGCTACCTTTGCAGAGCAAAAACTTTTGAGTTTCACATAATTCCTTTTGTCTAGTTTTGATTTGGGCATATTTTTTACTTCTTTCTTTTTTCCTTGAGAATATAAGTCTATTTTAGAGTTAGAAGTTGCAGAGGAAGAGGAGGAGAGGGAGGGAGGAAGATACTGGTTTTGAGTGGCTAGTTCACTTCTCCAGTGGCTCAGAGGGTTAGGGCTGGGCCAGATCAAAGAGAATTCCATCCAGTTCCCCCAAATGTGTGGGAGAAGATCAAGTATTTGAACGTTCAGACACTGTTTTCTCAAGCCTGTTAGCAGGAAGCTGGATGGGAAGCCGAGCAGCAGGGATTCCAGCTGGCACTCTGATATCGGGAATGTCCATGTCACGAGTAGCAACTTACCTCTGGGACATCTCCAGGAAACCGTCGCCTTTGATAGAGCCTTAAAACGCTTAACATTTTATTCTAGGAATTTCATGTTTTTTTTTTTTTTAAATCTATCTTCAGTATTTCTCTATGTATGTTTTTGGTTCCCTTGTCAAAACTCAGTTGCCTACATGCATGTAGATGAACTTCTGGACTTTTTATTCTGTTTTAATGATCGACGTCTTGAATTTTACATCAGTACTCTGCTGTTTGAATTACTTGTAGTATGCTTTGACATTAGCTATCGCCATTCCTTCAGCTTGATGTATTTTTTTTTTTCCTTCTCAGGATTGCTTGGTCATTTTAGGACATTCATGGATCCATATCAACTTTTTTCTAATTCTGTTAAGAATACCAAAGGTATTTTGATACTTTGCAGTGAATTTTCGGATTACTTTAGGTAGTAGAAACATTTTAATGATACTTATTCTTCCAATCTATTAGCAAGGGATACCTTTACATTTTCTGTGTCCATCAGTTTTATGTTTTCACCGTGCTAGCCTTACACTTCCTTTTTAAAGCTTATTTTTATTGGAGACACAGATTTACAGAGAGAAGGAGAGACAGAGAGAAAGATCTTTGGATCACTGGTTCACTCTCAAGTGGCCGAAATGGCCAGAGCTGAGCCTATCCAAAGCCAGGAGCCAGGAGCAGGGTCCCAAACACTTGGCTCAGCCTCTGCTGTTTTGCCAGCAGAGGAAGGGAAGTTGAGCAGCCGGGATAGGAACTGGTGCCCAGACAGCATCCCAGTCTGTGCAAGCTGAGGATTCAGCCCCTGAGCCATTGAGCCAGGCCCAAAGGTATGTTACTTCTGTACATCATTCATTGAGTTCATTTTTTTAATCATGGAGGGAGGATGAATCATATTGAATGCTTTCAAGGAATCTACTGAAAAGCAGCAGAGGCTGAGCCAAGTCCTTGGGACCCTGCACTTTAGACACAGATTGACAGTTTTGAATTCTTTCATATAGGGTTATTGAAAATTGCATTGGTTTTAAATGTAAGTATTTGAAGTTTTAATTTTTATTGATTATAAGTTCATCAGTTGACATGACTTAATTGTAACTCTTTGAAAATGATTTTTAACAAGTGTTCTTCTATATAGTTTAGCAAAAACTAATCTTTACCTTAAGTTTAAGTTGACATAGGAAATTAAAATTAATTGTAAAATATATATAACATGTATATGTCAATTTCCTAATTTTTTCTGCCTTAAGAATGGAACATTAATTGTAAGCATAATTACTTTTTTCTCTGAAATATTCAGTATGTATCTCTAACTTCTCCACAAATAGAGCACATAGTGTTTTCTATACCTTCTGCACACTTACTCATTAATTTTTATAATATAATTTCAAATACTTTGTAATCACAGGTCTAACGCACCATTAACCATAATGTTCAAAGAGTGAAAAAGCACAACCCACTTCACCCTCACTGCAGGACTCTTTGGTCCTTACACACAGGGAGCTAGTGCAGGGTCTACAGGCTTACAAGGTCTGGGAGCGATCTTTGTAGCTCTGGTACACTGTAAACAGCCTAGCCACTTTCTCCAGATCAACAAAGTGCTCCAGGGTAAAGGTGGCCTCAAGTTGCCTGGATCACCATTCCCGACACTGATCCTTCCCCAGGGATATTGTCATTCCTGAACATTTTTTAGGTAGCTACTAAATTTTTCATGTCAGTAAGAGTTGTAAAAACGTATTTTTTGAATCCTGAATGACCTCATCTTTTTTTTTCAGTGATAATGTCATTCCAAGTTTTTTGTTTCTATTGATTTGAAGAACAACCTTCATTTTTCAAACCACATTAAAACTATGGGCCTATCATCTGGTTAAGGTTTTTGAAAATCAAGGTGCACTGAATTTTACTTACTGCTATACAATATCACACTTACTAATTAGTAAATGAACTACAAAATGGAAATTTTAAATATTTTATCAAAATGAAAAAAGATCAAAGGACACTCACTAATTCATTCATTCAATGCAGGAGACAAAGCCTGCTAATTACATGGATGGGAATAAATGAACATAATTGGATATTTTACATAATTTCTTAGTGAATGAGAATAGTTTGGAAGGATTTGTTAAGATAGATCAAATATACGTAAAAAAAATTTAAAGCTAAAGTCATTATCTTAATACAAAAAAAAAATAAAACTGAAATAATGAACTCAGATAATGAAAACAAAGAAAATGCTTTCTAAATTATTTATATAAAATTGTGAATATTCTTTAATCATCTTTAATCATCTGAAGCTATTGATTTCAGTTTCCTACATAAAGTATATCCTTGATTTGGGATAGAAGAACAGATATACTAGTTTTATATATTTTAATAAAACATTACAAATGATATTAACAGAAGTGAAATGAATATAATTTACATGTGATGAAAGAAGCATGGCTTGAATGTTTGTTTTAAATATCATCCAAATTAAACATCTCAACTTACATAGTTCTTCTCTATCAAGAGACTGTGCACCACCTCCAAACAAGCCTTTGAAGAACCCCCTGTTGGGCGCTTCAGGAGTCTCTACGGGAGTGAAGAGTTCCCCCAACATTTCCTTTAAAACCAAAACAAATTGTAATTGTTAGAATTTCAGGGAAGCTATACTATAATCTATAAACTGTCTTAAGCTTACAACATGACCTACTGAGGCTGACAAAGACTAACAGGATTAGAATCAGTACATACTGACTCACTAAAGCTTCTCAGAGTCAACGCAGTAAGACTGATTCGCTGCCAACTACATTTCTCACATCACTTTCTTTTTTCAAGATTTATTTATTTTTATTACAAAGTCAGATATACAGAGAGAAGAGATAGAAAGGAAGATCTTCTGTCTGATGATTCACTTTCCAAGTGAGCGCAACGGCTGATGCTATGCCGATCCGGAGCCAGGAGCCAGTAACTTCCTCCAGGTCTCCCACATGGGTGCAGGATCCCAAAGCATTGGGCCGCCCTTGACTGCTTTCCCAGGCCACAAAGCAGGGAGCTGGATGGGAAGTGGAGCTGCTGGGATCAGAACCAGCACCCATATGGGATCCCGGCACGTTCAAGGCGAGGACTTTAGCCGCTAGGCCACAGCGCCGGGTCCTCCTACATCACCTTCTTTTCATTCATGCCAATGTAGTGTTTCTGCTGAGACTATAAGCAGATTTGAGTGTGATTCTCACACCCCTCTTCTCAAGAACTGACAACCGAATATGAGGTCTTTTTACATTAGAAACAGCATGTTCCAAGAGCAAGTCTAAATGTGCAGTGTAATGTTGATCCCTATGGCATTACAAACTAGCTGAAACACAAAGTTAGTATTTTAGGTATATTAATTTGCCTTCACTATTCTACCAGATAATGCCCTGCTTCCCCAGTACCATCTTGAAGTTTCAACAGCTTCTGACATGTGTAAGTGGTCTAGTGGCGGAGGTAGCCTTCTCAAGAGCACAGACCCAGCAATCATTTTCTGAGACGCTCAATGAAGTTTGCTTACTGTCTTTCTGGAGGACCAAATGACTGTAACATCCCTTTATTCAGAGAGTGTTATGAAAAGCACAGGGTGCTTTAGAAGAAAAACACCTGTGAAGGTCACTAGAGTTCTTCTCTACTACAACATACCTGCTCACTCCTGTCGGTTATAAATATAATTTCCTAAGAATTTCTGTGTGAATAATTGGGCATCTTCTTGATAATCATGTTTTGTCTGCTGATGTTTTGTTTCCTAATTTAAAAGATCTTTAAAGAGCATATATGTTCCTTAAATAATATAAAGAAGACTTACGGACATAGTTAAATTAGCAGCACCCTGCTATTTTCAGATGGACTAACCAGGCAGTATCACTCACAAGTGTCTTGAACTTGATGGAGCATGTGTTGAGAAATAATGCTGATGCTTTCTATGTTTGAATTTCCTTTTTTTTGGTGTCCTTTTGTGCTTGTCTGGTTTTACACTTGAATATCTTATTTGTCTTTTATGTGAGCTAATAAGCTTACATGGAAAAATACAGCATGAGTTTCCCACATGCATCAGTAACTACCATTTTAACTTCCTTTACAGCACATTGAATAATCGCTGATTTTGGTAATTTTGACTGAAAAACCCTATTGTAAGATTTGTTTATTCATCTGAAAAAAGCCCCTTGGAGATAAGCAAAGCAATAATTTCATATCAAATGCATACTACCCTAAGCTTAAGAGTCTTATTACTATGTTTTTGTTTTTACAGTAAGATATGGGTTTTATTCATAAATTTTGCACTTGAAGTGCCTCTTATAAATCATATATCCTTAATCTATTTTTAAACAGCTTTACTGAAATAACTGATACACAAAGCTACGTATATTTAAAGAACAGATTTTGGTAAGTTTTGACATATGTTTATACTCAGAAAACCATCATCACATTCAAGATTGTGAAGTCAGGCATCACCTCCAAGCCTCACTTTGTTCTGTTTCGTAGAAGACTTCACTTCCTATTTCCAAGTAACAGTGGATTAGCTTAATTTTCACCATAGGTTAAATTGCATTTTGAATTTTACTTAACTGCAAAATTTGTAAAAGTTGAAAAGCACTTTCAGTTTGAAGATGAAGCCAAAATATTAATATCAAATACAAAGGCAAGTATATATTTCACTCAAATACTTAAAAAAATTCACCATTCTGTATTTCATGGATTTAGTCACTGTCTTAAGAAAGGTTAAAAAAAATATTCAGGGTCTGGGCCTGGCATGATAGTCTAGTGACTGAATCCTCGTCTTGCAAGCACAAGGATCCCATGTAGAAGCCAGTTTGTGTCCTGGCTGCTCCATTTCCCATTCAGCTCCCTGCTTGTGACCTGGGAAAACAGCAGAAAACGGCCCAAAGCTTTGGGACCCTGCACCCACATAGGAGGCCCAGAAGAAGCTCCTGACTTTTGGGTTCGGATTGGTTCAGCTTTGGCCATCGAGGCCACTTGGGGAGTGAATCAGCAGATCGAAGATCTTTCTCTCTGCCCTTCTCTCTGTCAAATCCGCCTTTCAATAAAAATAGTAGATCTTAACAAAAAAAAAAAAAACATTAAGGGCTAGCACTGTGGTACAGAGCACGGCTGGCACCTGTGATGCCTACATCCTATATGATGCTGCTTCCTGTCTTGTCTGATTCACTTCCTATGCGACTCCCTCATAATGGCCTGGGAAAAGCAGCAGAAGACTGTTCTAGAACTTGGACCACTACCACCCTCGGGGAACATGTGGCAGAAACTTGTGGCTCCTGACATCAGCATGGACCAGCCTCAGCCACTGCAGCCATTTGGGGAGTGAAGTGGCAGACAGAAGACCTGTCTCTCTGTCTCTCCCATTTCTCTGTAGCTTTAATTTCCAAATATGTAAACAGTTTAAAAATATTCAGAGGAAAATTACCAAATATTACTTTTTTCTTATGTGCAAAACATTGGGTTAAAAGGGGCTAGCTGAAAATGTTATCATAGAATCTAAACTAAAATGAATACAATTGTTTCACATTATTTTTATTTCTTTAAAAAAAACTTGTGTGTGGATTTGTTGCCTATGTATGTAACAGACATCCATTGTGTGGAGAGTAGGTTGCATACATGTTACATAAAACACCTCGTATCCCAAATTCCTTTGCTATCACTGAGGAGCAGGGATGGATCCGTGAGATGACTAAGACACTTAGCCGACAGGAGTCTCAGAGCATGCACTCTGAGAGTCTAATGAAAAGGCTTTGAACGATCCCACTTAGGCTGCTCGGTACACTCCTGTAAGAGGGAGTGACTAGCAGAAGGGTCCTGAGAGAATACTTCATCTCTGAATAGACTGTGATATTTTTGTTATTTACCTGAAGGTTTTCACAGGTCTCCTGACTATAAGTCAGTCTCTGAATTTCTGTAGGTGAAACAAGATACAACGCTTGTCCGTTGTTGGTGAAGCAGAACGTTCTGGCTATCCGCATGTTGGTAAGAGGCAAGTAGTACACATCCAACAGTGGCCTTAAACTTGGCAAACTTGAGGCAAAAAAAAAAAAGACCTGTCAATACTAAAGAGTGTCATGGTAGTTTCCAGTACTAAATAAAGTATTACAGAAAGTAAAAATCGCAACGATCGTAAAGTCTTAATAAACTGAATCAATGTCTGTGTATAGGAATGGTGATAAAAAAAATCTTTCCGAAATCCATTACGTTACGTTAATTTATTATTAACTAAATATAAACAAATTCTCAGTATCTAAGAATGTAAGCAATGAAACCCAACAGCATTTCTTTTAAGCCAAACATAATGCTACAATGTGATCTGAGGAGCAGACGCTGTGCCTGTGTTTTCACTCTTACCTAAATGCCATAATGTGTCCATTGGCACAGAAACATGCCAGGCAGATGCTGTTGCTCAATGCTACAATATCTCCACGAAGCACGAATGAGGTTTCTGTTATGTTTTGCTTGTAAGCACAGTTCTGGGTTGGCAGTGAGATGACTTTCGCTTGCTTCTCAGAGCATATCACTGCATACTGGTTTTCACTAATTTCCTGAGAGGAAGAAGGTGATACTGAGACAGGCCGCCTTTTTTTCAATTTCTCCTTTTCATCCTTTTCTTCAGGAACATTGTGTTCTTTCCAGGGTTCATATGCAGGTGGCATTAAGCAACCAGTTGTATCCAAAAATGCCATTCTCAAAATTGCACCTTTTAGTCTCAATATAGTACCTAAAATATATAAGTTTAGTAAATATCTGAAATATGTTCATGTACAATATGCTTATTCCTACTCTGATCCATAGTAGATGTGCTGAACGTATGTCAAACTGAAATTTTCAACTGACCCACTCATTGATACAATTCAAATTTCAAGCCTGACTTTCACGAGTCTGGAAAAAGGTGGCAATATTACATGTCCCAAATGGATAACTCCGCCAATAATTCACAATTTAATTCAGCATGACAAATTATGTAATCAAACACCTCAACTGCAACTGGTATGCTGGGGTATCTGAAACTAAGTGTTTTGTCACACTCAGTGAACTACCACAGTACGACGAGCAAATGGCATGCAGCCTGGAGAGCGGAGCCGTCCAAGGGGGAGCCAAAGCCAGCGGGGAAACTGTTCTGGAAATGTGACTTGTCTAAGCTATGGTGGACCACTGCGCTCTGAGAGTTAAACACACACCAGATTGGATGATTCTGTTAGTAAAATGTCTTGATAACCTAAAAGTAATGATTGTGTGGTGAAATGACAGCATTTTGGGATATACTTGGCTAAGCAGAATATGCTACACATTCAGCATCATTGTCTAAAATATAAAGACAAAGAAGTTGCTTCAATTCTTTCCAAGTTTTAAAATATCTGTATTTACAATCCTTGAGGATGTCCATGTCAACACAACAAATTTCCTCATTCTTCATTAATACACCTCACACACGCGGCTTGCTGGCCAGTTTATGGAGTACTTTTAGTGTGCTTGCATTTTGAGTGTAATTTACCATAGACAGTGCAGTGGGGCTGGGGTAGATCGAGAATTTTGTACCTGGGGAATCATGTGAGTGCTCGAAATGTTTTAGATTTAAGAACGGCGAGTATTTTTGATGTTTAGAGCAGAGATGGTGTTTTGTATTAAAGTTAATTCCAACTTTTATTTAATCTTTCTTAAAATTCATTTCATTTAAAAATTTTTCATTTTATTAGAAAGGCAAAGAGACTGAAGAGAGAATGAAGAGAGAAAGCGTGAGAGGCAGCAGACACGCCTTCCGCACACAGGCTCCCTCCTCAAAGGCCCACAGCAGCCAGCAAGAAAAACAACCTGTACATTTGTAAGCATTAGCTCTACAATCATAATTTTAAACTATTACCAATAAAACTCAGATATACTCAAGCACTATTCTTGTCAGTTGGTAGGTGTTAATTTAGTATTTACATTATTTTTTTAGTTTAGGTAATGATGGTTTTTCTTCTACACACCTGTGAAGGTCTATAATCGTGCTCTAAGGCTGTTCCCACACTAAATGATGAGATGAATTCACTGCAAAGGAGTGTGTGATCCATTACTGCAAAACTGTTTAGAGACTCATTAACTTATTTGAAAGGCTGCATTAGAGGGTGGGGAGGGAGAAAGAGAAAAAGGGAGAGAGATTCCATCTGGTGGCTCCCTGCCTAAGTGGGCTCCACAGCTGGGGCAGGGCTGGGTCAAGTCAAGGCCAGGAGCGAAGGACTCCATCCAGGCCTCTGGTGTGGGTGGCAGGGGCTCCAGTGCTTGGGCGGTATTGCACGCTTGTTTTTCGAGAGCTGGTTCAGAAGTGGAGAAGCTTCAACTTAAACCCACATTCCAGCATGGGATACAGAAGTCACAGCAGCAGCTAGTCCACTGTGCCAAATGCCAGCCTCTTCAAGTCTTAAAGGGTTATTTTTTTCTTATTTTAATTCATAGTAGTTAATCATATTCTTTAATTTTTTTTTCTTATAAGAAAAATATTGTTTCCTTTCTTGTTTGTATTTTTGTCTTAGTATTGGAGGATTTCCAGATTAAAAATTAATTTGAATTTTGGTCACACACCAAGTATTTTTTAAATATCCGAATGTTCCAAATACTACATATATTTCCAAATAATGCTTGGGGCATATTCACATTACAGCATGGTTATCTAACGCTAATAGGACTGGGCATCCTATGCTTTCATTAGCTAAACTAGGAATTTGACTGTACAGTTCAGGTTTCCCGAGTGGGTAACTTAACAACTATAAGCAATCTTTCTTGTAGAACTATGAGAAAAATGAGTTGTAATCATACAACTTAATTAACATTTACCTCACAACAAATGCCAGGTTTGCTTTTACTGTGAAGCCCTATAACATATGTTAGGCAGGAATTTTAGTAACTTTCTCAACAGAAAGAGTGAAGAAAAGAAAAAAAAAAAAGGAGCGAACAGAGCACTCTGGCGCTTAGCTAGAGAAATGGATGTCCTGCAAAACAGGCCTGTCACATCTCCAAGAAAGCTAACAGGATAAAGTGCCGTTGGTCATTTACAAGCAGGCATCTTGTTAAAAAAAACCCTTAAAAATATGAAATTCAAAAGAACTAAAAGGTTCCTTTGCTCATATGACACGTTCCTATCAGGGTGACTTTGATATTTAATTTGATTTTACTGTAGGTCAGAAAATATTCTGATTTTATTGAGTTGAAAAATACCTTAAATACTTTCTGTGTGGCTAATTGCAAATTATCTGTATTTAATTGCTCCCTCTCATTTTATTTGCATTTTCTTAATGCAAATGTAAATTTGTTTATAGAGGAAATTTAACACCTATAACTCAGTAAGAAAAAAAATGGAAATGATTTTATGTCTTGCTGCTAACCAGTGACAATTTCTGTTAGCATCTTGATTTTCATATTTTCAGGATTTCAGTAATATGTATACATATTTTTGTTACCTACCAATGAAAAATGAAAGTAGAAAGAATCTCATCATTACCTAACCTGTTTTTGGTAACCTAACAAGAAGGCATATAATACAAATTCAAATACTGAGTGGAATGAAAATCAAACTTCTTATTTAATGAAAGATGATTTGGAAATGAACACTAAAGTTATAACTACATTGTAATTCTATATTCTGAGAATTTTATAAATCTACAAATTCATTTGGAGATACACTAATGAACAAAGTCATGGTTTTTTCTTTGTGGCTCAGGTTAATTTAGTAATAACAGAAACCAGAACTCTTATTTTCAGACCTATTAGACTAAGCATTATTTGATGAAATCCAAATCTCATTTCTAACATATGAAGACTATGTATATTCTAAAATTTTCTATTAAGCAATCCTTTGTTATTACTTCAAATGAGAAATGTAACCTGGACTTTATACCTGCAGATAAAAAATAACTATATGAATGTTTACAAATGTACATTTTTGTTTTTCTACTAAATATGTACCAACCTTCTGTGTATAGAACACAGTATCTTGAGTTATTAAGAATGTGTTATGTTAGCAATTATTTTTCATTTTTTTAGACCAGGAGGAAGCTGCTGGCTTTGGGCGTCAGCCTGGCCCAAACCCAGCCATTGCAGTCATTCGGGGAGCAATCCTGCAGATTGGGGAGCTCATATAAATAAAATAAATCAATTCAATAATGGAAAACAAAGCTGCTTTTAAATCATGGTAAATCACACCAGAAAAGGAACCAGAAGTGCAGCGGGCAGCGCATACATACCACTCGGAGACACGATCACCGGCTGAAGAAGTCTCTGTTCTCCTCCCGGGGGGAGGTTCAGTGCAATCACCAGCACCGTTCCCAGTGTTGTTCCAACCCAGAGACACGGGGACGGGGAGGAGTCCGCCTTGCGAGTGAAAGTTTCACAGAAATGAAGAGCCGAGATAGCCTCTCTGGATTCTTTGTCAATACTGGTTACACTTGAACTCCGCGATCGGCTGAAGGAATTATCTTTTACATCTGAAATGATTTAAAAGGCAATGAATTGCTAAAGAAATGAAAAAGAAAATCAAGAAGCTTCTTGAAGAAAATGGTGCTACTGTATGATCTGTAGTCATTGAAGCATTTAATCAGGAGAAAGTGTTTTGAGGAGGTGAAACTAACAAAAAAAATATAAAAATCTATGAGATACAGTTTCCACTGATCTTTGTTGGTGAAATGTGTCTCCTGTAGGCGACAAATAGATGGGTTTTGTTTTTTAATCTGGTCTGCTAATCTGTTATGTTTGATTGATAAGTTTAAGCCATTTACATTCAGAGTTAATACAAATAATTGGTAATTAGTTCTGCCATTTTAACAATGGATTGTTCATTGATTTAGTCTTCTGTTATTATTTTACTGGGATGTTCTTCACATTTGTCTTTGGTTTTCATTCAGTAGCGTTTTACTTAACTTCATGGTGTTGTTAATTTCTTTTCATTCTTCCTGATATTGATTTTGTTTTGTGGCTTTTCATTTAAGGGGATGTATAGTAACTGTGTAATGGAGACTATCATATCTGGATGTGAGGGTACAATGCAGTATGCATCTCTACTTCCAGACAAAGATGGACTCCCAATGAAATTGCTTGCAATATCTTGACAATAGGATGCTGGACTCTCTGCCATTGACCATGCCCACAATGATGGACATATGATTATATATAAAGAACTATGCTTATGAACAACAACAACAAAAGGCAATGAGCTTGCTGAAATTGTAAATCTACAGCATATTGTTTTTAATTTATAAAGAAACATTACTGGCTTTAATGCTAATAACTTTTCCTGCTTGCTTAAATGTAAAATAAAAGTGGACTCAATGTGTTGGGGACAGGGGAAGGAGAGTTGACGTGATGGCTCAGTGGTTGAATCTTCACATTGCAAGGACTGGGATCCCATACAGGTTTGTGTCCCAGTTGCTCCTGGGAAAGCAGTACAGGATGGCCCAAATCTTGGGACCCTGAATCTGCACGGGAGACCCGAAGAAGCAGCAGCTCCTGGCATCAGATTGTCTCAGCTCCTGCCACTGCGGCCCATTGGGGAATGAACCAGTGAACAGATTTTTTTCTGTCTCTCCATCTCTCTGTAGGTTTGACTTTTCAAAAACTAACTAACTAAATAAATAAATCTTGAAAAAAAAAAGTGGTCAAAGCCATCCTTTCCAGAACTCAGCTGCGTAAGTCCGGGTGAGTTTCTAGATGTAAGCCCTTGTTAAGTTATTGTTCTAATCTTAACTCTTCACCACTCTTTTCTGGTACATTGTCTTTCATAACACACTGCATGAGCAGGTAGAACGAGAAGGAAGTAGAAAAATGAGAGTCTAATTCTGCAAGTTAAAAATGCATTTAGGAACACTCTGATGGATCTTTTTTTTTTCCAATCTTCCTGTAAGAAAACCTTTAGTCAACAGAAGTTTAGACTGCCTTCTTGAATGCCATTCTAAGTGTCATCCACATGTAACAAAATACACAAGTGGCAGATAGATCATCTGCTCTTTACACAGTCATCTGTAGTGAGAAATATTTAAAAATTATACTAAGAAATCTTTTATCCTATTACTTTCCCTGTGGCCATTACTATGTTAAGTCTCCCCTTTTCTCTTTGAAAATAATTACTGGACTTTTTTTTCCCAGTTTTGTCTCCAAAACAAAAACTAAAGCATTATATTTTTCTCATGACATTATTTGTATTAGTAACATCCCTGGTTCTACTGGTGAACAACACTTCAATAAACCATAGTTTTTGTTTCTCTCCCTTTAATTTCTCCTATAAACCTGATGGGAAGCCATACCCTGTTATTTTGCGACAAAGACCTATTTCCCTCTTTCCATTATTAATCCATTTCCATTGCCCCAAATTCAGTCTCATCATCATTTTCCTAGGCAATACCCAATCGCTCTCCCAACCCTTAGTCTTTCATAGTCTAACATAGCTCAATTAAACTTTATAAAACATGGTTACAACGCTGGGGCTAGTGCTATAGCCTAGTAGCTAAATCCCCACCTTGCATGAGCTAGGATCCCATATAGGTGCTGGTTCATGTCCTGAGTGTTCAACTTTCCCTCCAGCTGCCTGCCTGTGGCAAGGACAGCCCAAATCTTGGGATCCTGTACCTGTGTGAGACCCAGAAGAAGCTCCTGGCGCCTGATTTCAGATAGCTCAGCTCTGGCCTTTGTGAGCACTTGGGAGTGAACCAGTGGAAGGAAGATCTTTCTCTCTGTGTCTCTCCTTCTCTCTGTAACTTTGTGTTTCCAATAAAAATAAATAATTCTTAAGAAAAAACTACATAGTCACAATTCTGTAACTCTGCAATTCAGTGGCTCTTGTTTATTCTGATAATGCTAGTGAAACTTTTTTTTTTTAATTTGGAAATTGAGAAGCAGAGAAAAAAGAGAGAGAGAGAAGGAGAGAGAGTCCCATCCACTGGTTCACTTGCTAACTGTTCACAAAGGCTACAGCCAGGAGCTGGGAACAGCATCCATGTCTTCCGAGCCATCACTGCTGCCCCCCAGGGTCGGCACCGGTGAAGTGCAGGCAGGATCAGGAGTTGGGAGCTAAACCTAGAGACTGGGATGTGGAACACGCCATCTTAACCACATAAGCGAAGGCAAACTCTCACTCAAAGTTCTCAAGAATTCACAAAACTTTTATTCTCCTAACCTCTTAACACCCAACACCACCCTTCTTCAGGGAAATACATCAAGTCATCTGATTTTTTTTTTCCAAATATAATCTGGAATATTGCTTCTTGGCCTTTTGGCTAAGATCAACTGTCCAATTATAATCTGCATTTCCCTACTTGTTATTGTCTGGCTCGTGTCCTTGCACTATCCCATTCTGTAACTAACCAACAATATGCTTATTTCCCATGTCAAGTACTATCATATTGCAGAACCTGGTCTTTTTCCAACAGCCATGCATAGTTTCTTCCTCTGTTGAATCCCTACTGCTTGTGACTCCCACTGGTAATCACATTTGCTCTGAAGTTACTACTGATTTGTTTTATACCATGCTTTAAAGTAACTACAAGTGCAAGTAGAAAGTGACTACAAGTAAAACCTGTAAGTAACACATGTCATTTTTATACCCTGCAGAATTTTCCATGTGCCTACCATATGAAAAGTATTCAGTAAACATTCAATAAAGACAGATCTACAGTTGAAATTATCTAACATACTGCTTCTACTTCCCTGCCAGAATGTAATAAAAGTCCCAGAGGCTTCTACTGCTCATGTCTAAATCACTGCTCAAATCACAAGCCTTCCATGTTCCTGTAAAAGAATTTTCCTAATTTTGTAAAAAGAGTTAATGTTCCAGGCTTTATGTGACAGCACAAAAATGACATACCTGAATCCTAGTAATACTTAAGATTTTTACAATAAAATGAAATAAAATTCACACTGTGAAAATATTGCTTTAAAGTATAATTACGTGCAGTCTAATTCTGATTACAACTAGCTTCTAAAAATAATAAAGTTACTAGTTGTAACAAAAGCACGTCAACTTTTTTAATAAGAGTCATACCTGAGGTTTCTAAAGACATCTTTTCTTTCACTTAAGAATTCTGCATTCATATATGAGCGTATTGTAGAAAGAGATTATTTACTATAAATGAAACAACTTTCCATAATCAATGGGTTATGACTGAATTAGTTTACAATGATATTGATTCTAAGAATTTAAATTTCCCAAGTAAAAAAGGTAGAAAAGTTCAATATAATTTATAATGACAAACATATCAAATTTGTAATTTAAATAAGCATATATATATGTACACACAAAGTGAACTGACATGTGTTTCTGCCTATGAACTAACAATAACAATGAAAAGCATTGATATAGAAAGTTCAATAGTATAAATTCCAATGCAAATTAACATGGAAAAACTGAGATATGTATACATATTAAGATTACAACAGGTGATTTATAACAACCTACACATGTTAATTTACAGGCCAAATAAACAAAGATTTCATGGGAAAATAAATAATAATATTAATAAACTACAACTTCATTTTTGCTGTACTATGTACCTATGAAAATTAGGTTACGAAAGAAACTCTTAAGAGTAGATCAATATGAGATGATGCACTGGATAAGAATCAAATTTGAAAAAAAAAAAAGGACCACGTTTGAACTGGATAGGAGCAGGTTGCTTATTTTATTATACACTTTAAAATGTATGAAGGTAAAATATAATTCTCAACAGTTCGAGAACTACAATTTCTACTTGTTGTTGTAGACCTCTGTTGTAGAATGTTTTATTTGCATGGTTCTAGTAATTAGAATAGAAATCAAAGTAAGCACCGTTTACTATGTGACAGGCACTGATGAAACAATTTATAATTTATAATTTTATAATTTTTTGATTCACAAAACAATTTTGAGAATTATTATTATCATCACAAGCTCCAAGAGAGTAGATGATCTTCATCGAAAGTTGAATCTGATAAATGGTAGAGTCAGGCCCTTGGCAAAGTCTAAAATTTTCTATTAGATAACTCTAGACAGCTACCTCTCCAGTGTCATGGAGTTGATCAGTTTTTGGCTATAGGAAAAATATCTGAAACATTTGTTCTTATAGCCAGACCTACACTCAGAAACAGTCTGTCACACCTTACCTAACACGCCCACGTCATAAAGCCTTCACTTTCATGCTACTTGCTCAACTGCCTAAACATCGTAATGTGTAATGACACTCTCCTATTCCCACGTACAATTTTATGAAGCCGAATTACATTTCCCAAATAAAACATCATGCCAAGCGATGGGGTTTCTAATGGTAAAAATAAGAACAAGAACTCACACCAGTATATGTAACAACTAGATGTCTGCCTCCTACAAGTGTCAATGAAGAAGCGACGTCAGACAGTATTACTCCTGACTCCCTGGAGGCGGGGACAGCAGAGTGAAAGGGCAAGCAGAGTTGCACATGTTCCCCACTCATCAAGATGAGTCCTATCCACAGAAGTGTCCAGAGAGACAGGACAGTGCAATAACATCTACTGCTTCAGCAGCACCTAGGAGCCTCGATTCCAAGTACAGTCAGCTTTGTTTTCCCCATCGCCTCCTGGATCTGTTTGAAACAACTAGCAGACAAGCATCTCCACCAAACAATCTTTCAGTAGTACAAAGACTTGAGAGAAACACAATACCACAGAGACACTTAACATATATAACAAAAGTAATAATTGGCTGCAGACATTGAAGCATAGGGGCAGGCTAACTAAAACCATTAATTAAATAAGGATGACTTACAAAAGCATGGGGTATATATTATTATTAAAATTTATCATTCTGAAATGTGAGTTTTTTTTAAAAAACATACAATTCAGCATGACATTTTTACTATCTTTACATGTACATTTGTCCCTAGAGTGTTGCTTTCTACTAATGACAACTGAATGCATTATAAACACACTTATCTATCAGTAACTGAGGTAATACTGTAATTCGGGAATGCTAAAATTATTATGTAAAATGTACCAGCAACTAGGTTTGTGACATGCAGGAAAAAAATCAGGAGAAGTGAGGCTGCAGGACAAATCTTTTCATCTCTAAGACAACGGTGGGTAGAATCGTGTGTGAGCAGTGATTTTATTAATGAAAGGTAACAGAAACATCTGAAATAATAAAAATGAGTTTAAAAAAGAAATCCTGCTTTATAAGGAGCATATGGAATCTTTTATCTTTACTGAAGCATCATTTATTACTACAGAAAATCAAATATCTGTTTTTTATTGGGATATTTGGTAAAATAAATGTGCAAATACATTTACTTGCTTAAAACAGACGGAGGTACACAGAAAAGTGTCCTGAAAGAAGAAATGTTGCTCAATTTGCTATCATCAAAAATCTACATTATAATAACCATATAGGAGACACTGCAATAAACTGATTTTTAAAAAATGTTAAATTAGTGCAGTTTATAGGCTTCAAAATAGGTTTTCAGATAATTACATGGGTTATAAACACATTTAAATTATAATCATGTTAAGATTCTGCTAAAATATGAACTATGAGAAGGCCAAGAAAATACAATATTTTGATTGGCTTGATTATGAATTATCATTTTCATAATTTGTATATAGCATTCTAAAGTTTATTCTAAGGGATTTTTAATACTTAAACATTTTAGTCATTTTAAATTTTATTTCCAATGCAAATCTAGGATGTGCTAATTTAAAAACTTCCAATTTGCCTACTGAATCCCATTAGAAAGAATTCAATCACTTTGGGTATTTATTAGATAATGTATTTACTTACCTATATCAGGCTTTAGGTCAGTAGGCAAGCTTAACTTCCTTGACATCTTTGCTGAAAAATAAAATGTAGTTTTAAAATTCTGAAGAATAACTGATTCATACTTTAATTTAACTGATTCCCAGGATAGAAGAGAACTCTTCAGTGAACAAGTGTAGAGGCTAGGATGATTAAGAATGATTAATAATGTTAGGGGTGGAAAGTAAATCTTATTTTCAGTCTCTTAAAAAGTTTGTACTTACTTGATGTCATGTTTTGGTTTGAAGTTCCTACTTCAAGTAAGCCTTTTAAATTTTAACTTGTAATTCTTTCTTATGCTTACAGGTAAAGGTCGGTCTTCTCTAAGAGAAGAGTTATTCTTCCCAGGACACTGTTGCAGTTAGGGTATTAGAAGCATTAGGACCAAGTGTGGGGAAGCGATAGGAACATTTTCCAACTCATGATATTCACTGCAATCTGGCTCATCATTTCTTAAGTCAAATTCATTAATATAGGACAAACCTATACCATAATAAGATTATTTTATTACATAACATATTATGTCTTCATTATTACCAAACATAAATTAACATTTTTATTTATATTTCAGTGAAAAAGAAAAACTTAAAATCACACTAAATCTAAAATGATAGAATTTAGATAAAATGTAAGCTGCTGGTGTTTTTCTGTGTGTGGTACTAGAAAGGAAGAAAGTTAATCAACTTACTGGAATTCACTTTCCATCCTTAAAAGTCAGTTACTTTCTTGAACTAGTGAGTGATTTAAAGTTAGGACTAGTTCAACTACATTATGTTAGTGGTAATGCATGCACAACAGAATAGTGCATCCTATGTGAAATTAAAAAAAAAAAAAGCATTTGTTAATACACGAATGCATACGCTGGGTTAAACTTGGGACTGTTACGAGATATTTAAAGCACAGACCCTGCTAGTCCAAAGGGCGCCATGTAAGCAAAGAGAAATCCAGTCATAGTACATAACTTGCAATCTAAAAAAATGACAAATCCAGTGTTAGGAAAGAGGCATTAGGCAGACTGGCAAAGGACTGGGGGAGGCAGACATCAAGGTTTGACCCCAAGCTTCTCTCATTAATACCTTTTAGCACAGAAGAAGGGGTCACATGTATCCATCAGTCATCTCATTTTTACTCGCTGAATAAAATTTACTTGAAAAAATGTAATACAAAATCCCAAATAAAACCTGTTTGATTTTAAAAACAGACTGTTGTATCTCGTAGTATTATAATTAGAAGGCAATAAAAAGCAATAAAGCAATCTTACAAAAAATGTACTGAACATTAGGAAAGGATTCAGAGGTCATCACCGACACCACAGGTACAATGTGCATTGACTAGCAAGGATCTACACAATGAGCATAGTATCTGAAGGAAAAATTTATATTACTTGTATTTAACCTCGCACAAACAAAAGATGCTTTTTTGGGGACTGGCATTGTGGCAAAGTGGGTTAAGCTTCTTCCTGTGATGCTGCCGTCCAATATGATCATGGTTCAAGTCCAGGCTGCTCTACTTCCGATCCAGCTTCCTGCTGATGTGCCTGAGGAAGTGGAAGATGGCCCAAGTACCTGGGCCCCTGCCACCCTGATGGCTGCGTTTTCAGGCTCCTGGCTTTGGCCTTGCACAGTTCAGACTGTTGCAATCACTTGGCACTTCTCTCTAGACCTCAGTATTATGATTTTGATTAAGTTACTCAAATCTTCGGCCTGTGCTTGGTGATCCTGTTAAGGGAACATTGTGATTCTATACTCTCGGTCTATGACCTGAGAAGCATTTCCAGCCAATTTCCAAGGAGATGCTGATGCTTCTGGTCTGTGGACCACAGTTTGGATAGCAAAATACTTGTGTTACATACAACTTGAGGGTTAAAAACCAAGATAAATTAATGAAAGTCAAAATTTAAATATAGTCAGTCTGAAAAAAATTATTTCATCAACAAGCTTCAATACCTAAGAGAATATTTTAAAACCTCAGTATTTGTAACAGAAATAGTATTAACTCCAAGGATCCTTCAAGTAATTGTCCATAGCATAGCATAAGTTTTGTCTAACACTATGCTTAATTTTTATTACACAAAAATATTAAATACAAATAATGAGCTTTCAACTATTCTCAGTTGGTCTAATTTCAACACTTAAGAGTTTAATATCGATAGGTTAAAAATCATACATAAAATGGTCAAGACGACACTTCGAAGAGAGCAGCTTTAGTTAGTGAAGTGCCATAATAAAGTTTTAATTATGTAATCTGTTATTTTCTTCCAGGAGGATGCAATTGTAGGTCTGACACTCAGCCACCAGCACAGCCATAATATTCAAGTGACAGACAGTTAAGCAATATTGCTATTATGATGTAAGTATAAGTCCCCTGATATATACAGCAAAAAAATCAACTTCAACTTTTTTTATGCTAAACCTTGTAATCACATTATAAAGGTAACAGAACTAAGAGCTTGGCTCCCTTTCATGGACAGAGATGTCAACTGTCCCTATAGCTGAAGGCTACTCATCTGTTTTCTATTTTGCTGATTTGTACTATTTGGTATTTGATTCTTTCCAATAGGTGTTTAATATCTCCTCCCTTTTTTTCCTTAATCTTATGACAAAGACTTTTAAAAATTACTGGTTTAAAACAGTTCCTTTTTAATATCAATATTTCTAGTGCAGATGTAACCCAGCAAACGGCCTCAGTCCTCACTGACTTGGAGGGATTTTTTGAGCAGTTTCTCTGCCGTAACACCTGTCTCAAGAATTTCAGCCATATTAAGAACACACAATTGCCACCAATGATTCCCAACTATAGTAAGGTTGTAACTTCTCCTGGGTTCTAGCTTCTTCTGCTGCAACAAGAACAACATATTCTGTGCCAGAAAGCTGGGGAGACGAGGGCTCCCCTCCGGCCTCCTCTTTCAAGGACAACGGGAATGCTGCTGTGGTTCATGTCCTGAAACCAACAGGCTCTCAAACTTAACCTGCTTCAAACTGGCATTTTCTGGGAGTCTATTGCTTCCAGTAACTTAAAAACAGTCCCAGGTGTAAGGCTCAAAGAGATGCATACGTTAGTAGCTTCTAGCTTTATTTTTGTGCGATTCCTGGGGAACAGGGTTTTTTTATGGTCAACTTCCTGCACAGTAGGCTCAGAGAGGCAGCTTGAGTCGTGCAGAACCTTTGGTCAGCCCTCCTGGCATTAAATCTGTATTCAGACTTGGCCGGCAGTTTTCAGATGGTCGTGTTTTTACTTCTCAGCAGGCTCAGCTGCGATTGCCAACCTGCATGACCACTAGTTGAAACTTGTGTTTATGCCTTGAAGTTGCCTGTTTTTCACTGAGACCATATGATTTAAATGAGTTCTCAGATACATATTGTTCCTGTTTTCTTCAACTGTGCCTTCTTTAATTCTTGTATACTCATTGTCTTCCTTGTTTCGAAATCATATCATTATAAAACATAAACTAACTCATTTCCTACACTTCTCTCTACAGAAAGCATGGGAATGAGCAAAAAGATTTCTTGAATCAGAGAACTGGCATCAGATATGTCTAAGCAGGTTATTAATTGGGTCTTTGGTCTCTCATAAACCTTAAAGACGGTGTCATGCTCTGGCTGAGTAAACAGTAAAGAGCTGCGTCTGCTTTGTAGAATCAGTGAAGGTAAGCATGATCATGACAACGATGCAGTGCGAGTTTCATCACCCCAGATACATGATGCTGAAGAGAGGCACATCTCCAGGCAAACGCACTTCCTGGACCAACAAGGTTTTCATGACTCCCGCTGGTTAGTCCTTTGCAATTGCAGACATTTTCAAAAGGTTTCTCAGAGATTTTCATTGCTTCTTTAAAGCTAAAGTGATCTTTGGCAAGTTTTCTTTAGCTTTTCTGACTACTATGTCCATAACTTATTCTCCTAAAGGCTTCTTAAAAGAATGGAAAATTATAATTCTTATACTTTCAGAATATGACATTTACAGTAAAAGGGACTAATCACAAGAAAAAGTGAAAGGACTTACTATGACAATATAATAAAGTTACAAACATGCAAACTGTTTTACATATTCTGAGCGAGGTTCAATAGTCACACTAAAATGACAACAGCAGTTTTTTAACCGTATGCACAGAAGGCTTTTCAAAAGAGGTAGTGCATAAATGCATAAATGAATGTACGTCCAATAAAACAATCAGGATAAAAAGGAGACTATTTTGGAGCACATGTCATGGAAGGTTTGAGAAAGAATACAAGAAGAAAAGTAGGATCAAGAAGCATAAGTGCAGTTATGACACATTATGTTCAATGTGGCTTTAATTTGTATTTCCCTGATAGTTAGGGAGCCTGAGCACTTGGTCATATATCTATTAGGCATTTGAATTTGTTCTTTTTTTTTAAAGATTTATTTTTTAATTTTTATTGGAAAGGCGGATATACAGAGAGGAGAGACAAAGAGGAAGATCTTCCATCTGCTGATTCACTCCCTAAGCAGCCACAATGGCCGAAGCTGAACCAATCCGAAGGTAGGAGCCTGGAGCCTCTTTCAGGTCTTCCCTGCAGGTGCAGGGTCCCAAAGCCTTGGGCCATCCTTGACTGCTTTCCCAGGCCACAGGCAGGGAGCTGGATGGGAAGCGGGGCCGCCGGGATTAGAACCGGCGCCCATATGAGATCCCGGGCGTTCAAGGCGAGGACCTTAACCACTGTGCCATCGCGCCGGGCCCTGAATTTGTTCTTTTGAAAAATGTCTGTTCATTTCCTTCCCCCATTTTTTCACAGGGTTGTTTGCTTCACTCTTGTCTTGTCTTCTGAAGCTCTCTGTAAACCCTGGGTATTTGTCTCCTCTCAGTTATGTAGTGCACAAAGATTTTCCCATTCTGTTGGTTGCTTCTTTGTTGATCAGTTCCTTTGCTGTACATATTATCTCAAAAGCTATAAGAGCTCATAGTACCAATGGCCTAGTCTCCCACAGTAACACAATTCAAAAACAGACTTTTTCCTGAAGAACACTATATCCATTTGGGTATGTAGCAGACACTACAAACGAACAAATGGATAAAA